TCACACTGCTTAGCAGTACCCCTACTTAATTAGTTACAAGTACAGTGGTATCCAGCAAAAATATAAGTGTCTATTAAGAGAGAGCTCATTCACTGTCCCACAATGTTAACATATACAAACCCACTTAGGACCCAGACAAATAGAAAAAATATGCCATCTGAGGTACTGAGCATTTTTGCTCTCACCAGTACAACCTGCAAATTGAGATGCATTAAAATTGATATTATATAAAGTATTATATCAAAAAAAAACCCATCTTACAGCTCTGATTCTTTATTCAATCAAATAAAGATCCTTCCAACAGAGTACATCAGTTCAGTGGGGCTGTGGAATTAATTATTGTTAAAGCAGTAAACCACTAGTGAACTTAACTCATGTGGATTTCAATATGAGTAAAAGATTTTTGTATTTCAAGGTATTTTAAGTCAAGAATTTCAGAAGGTGTATCTACACAAAACCACACAGGTTTACAATCTTAAAATTAAGTCTAGTAATTTTTCTGCAAGGAATGTTTCCAAAAAAGCGCCCTAGCTGCAAAGAGATCTTAATGTTTTTGTCAAGTGAATTTGTTTTCCTTTTAAAATGTAAAACAAACTCATGGTGTGTGAACTACCAACAGCAGGTGACATTTCATCCAATAATTTTTGTGAAGAACTGTTTCCCTAAGTGATTGAGGTTTCAAATGTTTCTCTGAAACAATTGGGTCTCACAGACTGGATTCTGTCCCTTTAGAGATACACACCTCAACTTCTGCCTGAAGCCTTCCTTTCTATGGCCCATCCGGTTTTTACTTGATCTACTAGGACACCAGGAGGCAAAGTAATCTTCCATCTCAGCAGCAAAAACACTCCATTGCTGCAGTGTTTGCAGAGTCAGCCACATACCGTTTGGATAAACAACTATTTAGTACCTGGACAAATCAAACTAATCCTCTTGAGCTGTAGAGAAATGTAGCACTAGAGAACTCTTCCAGTGTAAAGGAAAAACAAAAGACCTTTTAAAAAATTTTTCACCTTCTCAATCCTGATACAAAATGTAACCTAGAATCCAACCTTCTGGCCGCGCAGGTACATAGGAAAAGGAATAGTTCTGTTCATAACATATAGCTAACGAAGGTGTTCTTCAGGAATATCACAATTCCTACTTCATGATCTTTAAGATCAAGGGAAGGAAGCAACTGATTGAAATGGAAGAGGAGCTTTGTTCAAAAATATAAGTAAAAATAAAATAATAGCTGTACACTATAGCTCTTAAGTTTTGTGGGTTTGCAATCTATGGAGACCCTATTTCTTAAAGAGTGCCTGAAGAAACAAAAAGAGGAAGCAGCCTACCAAGGAAGGCTAAAAAAAAAACAAAGCACCAAACAAGAACTAACTTCAAAAAGGCAATTTGATACCTCTACACTGGGGTGGGATGCACAAACCTCAAAATTTACACTGGCTTTTAAAATTATTTATCTGACATTGTGCTAAAAAAAAAGATTATCATGTAATGATGCAAGAATACAGAAACCAAATGCAAGGGCTCTGTCTTTATCAAAGTACTTGAGATTAGACATCCATACAAGTTTTTCTCCTTTTTTTTTTTTTTTTTTTTTTTTTTTGGTAGTACAAAATTACTTTCAGGATTCACTATATTTATGTAAAATCTTAATGAAAAAAGGTGGCATTGTCTTAACAGCATTACACCAATAATCAACCTCATAGTTCAAGACTGTCTGCTTAGTATTTTACTTTCACCTGCCTCCAAGAACCCAACTTGGACAATTACAGGATAAAACACTGAATTCTGACATCTAAATATATTCTCTTACAGGAAAAATGTAGGAGATACACAATATAAGGTCTTACTTAGACCAGTCTCTGGCCTGTGTATTTTTAATTAAAAAACAAGACGTTTTCTGCAATTCCCTACCCACTTAGCAGACTGCGGGGTGGCTGCAGGACCATGACCAGACAGGCCCATAGACCAGGCACACCAAACACAGGCAGGCTCTTGTCCAAAGACTGGTGGCTTAGTAGGCATGGCAACACCTCTGTGGAACTTAAGAGATCAGTTTGACATACCTCCACTCTAGTGAGGCTACACGGTTTTAGCATACAGCTTATTTAGGATTGAAAAGTCTTTCTGCATTGGTCAAGCAGATACTCCTAGAGAATGTGCAGCCTTAATACTGTTTTTCCCAGATCAGACTATGACATCTTTGAAAGCAATATGAACAGATAGCAAAGAAAAGCTGAAGTGCCCTCTTCATTTACATGGTTGAAGAGAATGACTCATTTTCTTAAAACCTTTTCCCCACATTTCAGATAAAGACTGTTGTAGTTGCAAACTTAAATACTTAGATAGGACTCAGTAATATTTTCAAATACCTCAATACTTACTAAAAAATCTGGTTTTAATCAACACAAAACTATTCATAATGTTGAATTGAAACTTTCCTACTTTCCATAAAATAGAAGTACACACAATGAGAAAAAAATTGATTCCAGTGTCAAAGTCAATAAAAATGTAATTACTCCGTACAAAGCAGAGCAGCATCAGTGGGACAGATCCAGGAAACTGCCCTCAAAATACTATTGGAGGGGCTAAAAAGTATCCTAATATTTGGTACTATAGGCTCAAATTCCTTTGAATAGATGTGGTCATTAAAGACCTTTCCAATACATTATGGGTTTAAAGAACCCTAGCTATATCCTTCTCTTTCTCATATAATGCCTCAAATCTGGTTCATCAAGTGAAAAATACACAAGAGAATGAAAACAACAACATTTCAGTAATTCATTTAGAATTATTAGTGGATTTACATATTTTTGTTAATATAAATTTGTCCTTACTCATTCCAACACCAAAAAGAACTACCAATTCTTCACATAACCTGATTCATTATATTAGTAACAGCTGAGATAGCTAGCAGTTTCAGTAAAAGCTGGATTTAACCACTCAAATTGATTAGTGCAGCCCTTGTGATTATTTTAAGGAATTACAGTTATTATACAAATAAATGAATATAAGCATTTTGGTGTGAAAACATTTGTAACTGAACTTTATAAAGGTAGGTATTACTAGCCTGCAGACACAACACTGAGGCACTTCATTGATTTAAAATATAGGTATATTCTTAGAGGTGTAAACTTCTTAGAAGAAAACTAGGAAGTTATAAAATTCTTACATCCCTTTTAAAAGATAGCATACACATGCTACATAGTTAGATAATTATAGCCCCCATAATGAAGAACTATAAAAAGTCCTCAGTATTTATTGTTTTTTAATGAAAAAACAATTTTAAATAGCTATTACTCATAATTTTAAATAGCTATTCTCTCAAAACTTGCTCCTTTTACACTTAGAGGCTTGCAAGTTAACACCGGCTTAAGCTTTTGTCTGGAAACACAGAACTATTTGGAACTACACTGGGAACATCCCACTCAAACGTCCTACCACATCAAGGAAGCCAGTACAGAATACACAGTAATCAAACACATTAAAGCTGTGAAAGAAAACAACTGTGCTTTGTAATGAGAGAATACCACCAAAGTGTCAGGTTAGTCAGCCGTAGCAGTAAAAATACAGAGTTGCCAAATACAACTCACGCATAGGTACATTGAGGAGCTTCAACTGACACAACCACACCACCCATGGATTACACTTCTTCACTCGCCTAAACTATACCAGTGGAAGTTTCATGTGTAGCAAACCTGTGATCACACATTCTGCTTCAAAAGTCCTAGCGAAGGAATTACTTATAGGCACAAAACTGATCATAAACAAAAGCCTTTGTGAAAAATTAAGACCTTAGAATGCAGCTATTTTATTTTTCATTGCATTTGATTTATTTCTATAAATTCTTTCTATTTCTTGATTTTAGAGTTTCATCTTTTTTTTTTTTACATTTCTTTAAATTTAAAAGCTTTCTGAGTTACTCTAGCATTTAATCACTGATTTTTACTATGAACTATTTAAGATCATATGTAATTATATCTGAAATATGAATACAAAATACACGCAAGTGATTCACTAGCTTCTATTTAGTCTCAAAAATAAAGATTTGTTCATTATGCAAAACAAAACCAAGAAAAAACACCACCTCCCTCAGGAAAAAAATAAACATCTAAACAAATTTTATGCAAAATTATACAATATATACACTATTTTAATCACTATTTCAATTTTTCTGCAGTGAATGCAATGATTACAAAATAGCTTACATACAAAGCAGTACAGAATTTGTCCTGGAAAGCAGAAATCATATTTAAAAGATCCTAATCAAAATAGCAAAATGTTTGCTGTTTCGCAAACAAAACAAAACAAAAGTATCCTTAAATAACAGTGAGACTTATCTTCTATTAAAGTACAGTTGCCTACATCAAACTGCAAAGGGACAGACACAAATGCCTTTATCAGGATCACAAGATCACAGTGCAAGTTATGTTGAATTTATCACAGTAACAATGAACTAGAAGCAAACAAATGGGCACACATGCAGGCTTTGAAACTACCTATTAAAATTGTCAGTTCTCATCTTAATTAAGCATCATAAATCAAACCAGCTACAAAGCAGAGTCTCATATTGCTGGAATCTGCAAGAACCTGTTTTCAGAGAAATACTATTATGCTAGTTGAAATTCTGGCTTGAAACTCTTACAAAAACACTTTACATGGTTAACAATACATTTTTCATTCTGTTTTGTTCTCTGCGATTTTATTAATTTTTTTCAATTATTAAAGTATAAAATGTTCAATAGGATCCTTCTTTTCCACTGTAATACTTTGTATTGGCAATTATGAAGTGAAAATAACAGCAGGAGCAATTGATTTGCAGACCTTATTTTTCCAAATTCTTAATCTAAACTTTAATAATCTGATAAACTTAAGACAAGCCATCAATTTTCCTCCTTTTTAAGGTTACCTACCAAGTATATTATTTTGCAACTAGCCTCTAGACATATATATGCTAAGAACAAGAAATAAAATAAACACAATACTTATAATGACCATACCTAGTAATAAGAACCGCATTATCATGGTGGGCAATCCCATTTTCTGGAATGGTGTTTCCATCACTTTGGTGGGAGAGAATGGATTTCTGCCACTTACAGAAGCTATCGAGGGACTTGTCTGCATGGTGGTTTATCTCCAAGTTTGGCTGCAATACAACATGCATACCAGAAATGTTCCAAACAAATTACTAAGGTCAGTTGTTAAGCCTTTGAAAACTAAAATGGGACTATAATTAGAAGCAGTGGTTTCTAGGAATAAAATCTTCTTGCCAAATTTTATTTCTGTAAAATCTGACCCCAAGTTCAGCTGTGTATTGCTGAACCATCATTCTTTCTGCTCCAACTTTAATAATCATTTTGTCAATACAGAAAAAAAAAATCAAAATACAGATCTAAAAATAAAACTGACATCCCCGAAGGTGTAATAATAGTCACCTGAAGTAAGAATACATATCTTTGAGATGATACGAGAGGGATATTCCTTTGAACTGCTTCATCTTGATTAAAGTAGTGAAAAATTACATGATAGGTTTTGTACTCAGAGGCAGCCACTTCAAACTACTAATTAAATAACTCTACATTATATAATAATGTGATTTGTATTTCACAGGTATAAAGCTTAGCACAACAGCTCTTACCTGATCTTCAGTGAGGACAATCAAACGTGTCACTATAATATTCACAACGTTTCCTAGACTGGAATCACGATAAAGTTTGGCAACCTGACCTCCAGAAAATAAGAAAAGGCACAAAGTCAGACAAGAAACACTACTTGCTTCCTAAAAGGTTAAAAATTAACCCAATTTCCTCAAGTAGTTCCATAATGTAAAGTACCTTTGTCACTAAATACAAGTTATTTTTTGACCAAAAAATGACCATTCAGTTAAAAAAAACCCTTTTTGAACCACACTTTTAAGCTGAAACTGTTTATACCTTGTTTCATAATTCATCCAGCACAATGAGCCTCTAGAGTGTCCATGTAAGCAGAATAGAACTGTATAATCTGAATGTAATTATTTGAATTCAAAATTAAAGACAACTTTTAAAAGTGATCACAACACACTTCTTGACATTTTCCCAAAATGCTAAGATTTCCAATATTTAAACTATACATTTCTGTAAGCTAGTACTGATATTAAAGCATCATTCATGGCAATAAAGAAACACTTGACAAGTCCATTATCATTTCAGTACATAGGTATTGGTACGAACACAGAGAAGGATGAAACTTACAATATTCATTACACTCAAAATGTAGTGTTCAATGTCTTTGCGACCATGGTATCCCACCATCATTTTGTCTGCTACTACCAGCGTTTCCACAAACCGCTCAAGGCTTACAGATCTCTTCTGTCGACTATGACTACTTAGTGTGCCATTGACTGGAAGCGAGGCTGGAAAAGCAGATGCATCATTCATCCACCAAGGTTTGCCGCTTCTTGTGAGGTCTTCTAGGAACCAAAACAATTAAATACTTGAGAGGGAGTCACTAGTAAAACTCATTCAAATGCAGCTGGTTTATGTTGAGATTGCCATCTCCAAGTTTCTAGCAAGGAAGTCTTTCTTGAGGCAAATAGAAATTAAATTTCTTTATTTTCCAAATTATCTTTAACTAGCTTATATAATGGAAAACCAACTTTGAGAACCAATGATCTCAACTCTCCTTAAATTTGAATTAGGATAATAAACAAAAAATCCTTTCTTAATAAATCTGATTTTGCACATTCATGTTATATTAAAGATTAGTTATAATCAACCACAAGAACACGTCAGAATTTTAAGAATAAGAACAAGACAGCAGTAACCTCTGGAAAAAAATACTAGAAACCAAAAATTCAAAATTAATGCAAAAGTTATCAAAATTTACTAAGGAATTAAACATGCTCATAAAACACTAAAAAGCTTTTCCCCTACTACAAAAGTCTGTAACTTTTAGGCAATTAGGCTTACATGCCTAAAATGAATCTATTTTCTCTTCAGAAATTTATCAGATTATATTTTATCTACCTTGTGAATTAACTGTAACAGAAAGTTTTAAATGGTCCAACATGGGGCAATTGCCATAGTTATCTCAACACAAATTTCAGTTCAAATATGTTGATTCTTGTTTTTCTTTCAGGTAAATATATAGAAAAATATTTCTTGTGTGCAAGACATAAATTATTAAAAATCCAAAGAGCTGTAATTATCGGCAAAACAAACATTACACGATGACTTTGAATTCAAATTCCTGTCCTCAGGCCAAAATTTAATCCATCCTTACCTACAAAGGAAGAGAAGGATGGATTCAATTTTTTGGCTTTTTTAGTGTGTATCATATATCCCTTTTCCACAAGAGCCAGCAAAGATCTCAAGCTAAAGTTTAGCAAAGTATATTGTTAGTCTGGTTTTATCTAAGTAGGATTTCAAAACATCTAAGTTATTCTTGGTATTTACAGATGAGCACAAGAACATTAATAGATACATTTATAGCTGTCTGAACAGAACTGCTCAAATGAGCAATGTTCTTGCATCATTACTTCTACTAAAACAGGGTCAGCTAAGGATGAGTAGAGATAGAACCAGTACCTCCCATAAGAAAACCAATGCTTTATGCAAGTTAGCTAAGCACACTGATTTCAAAGAGGAAAAACTACACCACAAAGAATGTATGCTCAGGTCAAAACCAGCAATACAAACCTTCAGTATTCCCACTGTTGCAGAGTTTCATAATTTTTGAGGCTACAGTATTGGCTCTAAAAGGCGCATATTTTAGAAAAGTCAAAAAATTTAAGTAAACCTGGTAGTTATAAAAACACAAGTAACAAAATGGTCCTTACTCTCCAATGGTTATAATTCATTCTAAAAAAGCCCTGTGCAAAGTATTAAAGCCTGGTTTGGATGCTATAATGACTACTAAGGTTTCTCCTCTTTTTCACCTCTATTCTAGAAAATTCGAAGTTGCTTGCACTGTTCAAAGATTTTCATCACACTTAAATAGTGTCTTAGAAATGTCTGGAATTTTCCCTGACAGCTATTGTACTAATTTTTTTAAAAATTCATTCTTTTTCAAATAACAAATGCTGATGGTTTCTGATGCTCTTGGAGTGCTAAAAGTATTTTAGAAAGTACTGCTTCCACATTAATTCAAAATTTTCACTCAAAATGCAGACTATTCTAAAGTTTAAAAAAACTACTGATTCCAAACATAAAACTTTCAGAGGAAAAAAAAAAAGATTTTGGAATCATCTTCATACTGTCTTTCAAACAAAGGTCACAGAGGACTCCATAAAAACAACCATATCTCATTTTCTTATCAGATGAGAAGCTTAGGCTTCAGCTGATCTCAAAATTATATAAATGCTTAAATATATCAATAAATAAAGATATATTACTTATTTAGTGAGAATAGCTATGTGGCAACTTACATCATTCTTTCACCATATTCATAAGTTAAAAAAGAAAAAATTAAACTCCATTAACATTGAACATAATTATACATAAGTAAAACAAAGTAAAAATAAATAGAAAAATAAAGAAAAAAATCCACAGAAAAATACTGTAATTGATCCCAAAATAGTTATTGCAGAAGTGTGAAATTAGGTTTTAAACTGCAACTGAAAAGAAATCCAAACCCATATAGACACAGAGTTCACAACTACTGTACATAAGTTTTCCTAAGACATTGGGTAGTGGTCAAGGGAAAGACAGAAAGACAAGACAGAAAGACAAGACAGAAAGACAAGACAGAAAGACAAGACAAGACAGAAAGACAGAAAGACAGAAAGACAGAAAGACAGAAAGACAGAAAGACAGAAAGACAGAAAGACAGAAAGACAGAAAGACAGAAAGAAGCACAGAAAGAAAAATATCTCAAAATGCAATAACAAACTTCTTATGTCAGATGCAGCTATGAAAATATTTCATTTTAAAACAAAACATTATGCTGGTTTTTTCCTAAATATTGTAGCACCATTATTTCATGCTTCTAGCAAGCTTTTATTCCATATTTTAGAATATACCAACTGTAAAGTCTGAGACAAGTGAAATCACTACATAAATCAAAAAATAGTAGAACTACCCAGAAATAATCTGCCACTTTGCAGCTTTCATATGTCAATTTCTGTTGTTTCTCAATCCTATACAAATGCAGCACTTTGCAAAATAATCCAGTGGTCTCAAACCCCATTGAAGCAATTGGAATTTGGCAGTGGAAAACTTCTTGCCAAAGCCTTAGTGATTTCAGCTGTATTTAATAAAACATAATTAATTGGTGACAATACATACATGAAACATGACTTCAACATATTGTATTTTGAACATTTTTATGTTTAAATGCTTAAAATCTAATTTAAATTACGAAAATGTATCCTGCGCTCTCGTCTGATTCTCCATGCCTCTCCAATTCTCCTCTTGTATTAGCTACCATAATTCTTCCATTGATTATGAAGTTGCCCATCACTTAGTGATCGCAGTCAATTCTGATCATGCTTTCACCAAATTCTGTGCTCCACTTTCTATTCTATTATGGTCGTTTTTCTCAGAAAGGTCAGAAACTACACTCCCCTTGTCTCTATCAACACTTCAAAATCCTGACTATTTCCCTGATGGAGAAGAAGTGCAAAATAAAATAGGTTTCAGTATGGGAAACTTGACAATGAATAGTGGCACGGTTTCTCAAGCAGATTCCTCCCTGCATGGAATGCTAGGAAAACTGTTCTGAAGGTAAAGTTGAAATCAGTCTCCAGACAAAATAAATCATACACTGCCAAAAGGTACTTAGAGCTTTTGATGTTTGCATTTTAAAACACAAAACTGGACCGTTCAAAACTTCCAAAACCAGTCAAATTCCCTAAACATCACTGAATACCTGGCTTTAATCCTTGGGTGTGAAAGCTGCAAAACTGTAAATTAATATTTTACTTTATTTTTTATCTGTTGTTTTTCGGTGGGTTTGTTTTTTTTTTTTTTTGTTGTTTTTTGTTTTTTGGTTTTTTTGTATTTCACGATGCTTTGTATGCTATTTCACTTTAAGATAAAGCTGCAACAGTATCAGAAAATGAGTTTAAAAGGCTTTGGTACCCATGAGGGTAAAACAGAATGTCATCTGGAAAAGCAAGACCTTGCAGTCTTGGCAGACAGTGAATTTTTTTAGACATTTTAATGGAGTGAAAATAGTATACAGAACAACAGGAAAAGGAGAAACTGAGATGAATGAGCATCATAATATTCTCAGGCTTGTAAAAAACAGTGCTTTAGTACTTCAATAATTAAGGACTTCAGGCTGTGAAAGCTGAGAGAATGCACAGGAGCTTCCAAGAAAAAAGGTACCCCCAGTTATACTAAGTAATAAATGCTAAACATTATACCATGCTTTGCAAAAAATCATACAAGATGTATAGCTCTGATCAACCTGTGATCCATGTAACAGACACCACCAGAATAACTGAACACAACCTTGTTGGCTTGGAGCAGAATTAATCTAGAAGACAAGATCCAACAGAGGCCAATATCCTTTCTTTTGGTAGGGATATAATAATGGTAAAAATTACATGTCCTTACATTTCAAAACCTTCCACTTATTTCAAGCGGCTTAAGTGACAGCTTTCCCAGCAAAATGAACATATACTAGTACCCTTATTTTACAATCATTTAGCAGACAGTAACATTTAAGAGATTTGTTTGCAATATTACAAGCATGTATATTGAATAATGCCCTCAAACTAAAAGAGAAATTACACATATGAAGTCTGACATTCCATAAACACAATTAACTGAAATACTCAAGAAAAAGCTACCTCCTAAGAATGGGATTTTGCAGACAATCTGTACTGTAAGCTTAGACAGCTGGTGCCACTAAACATTATAAACTCCAAAATAAGCTAAAATAAATTATATCAATGAACTATGATATTATTTTATTTTAAGACTAGTTATTGTGAGTCTGCCCCACGTACTGAATCTCATGGAACACAACTGCCTAGGACTCAACTTTTAAGAATAAGCTATTACTGAAATATAAACAATTGACAAGGTTAAAACACTTTTCTATCATGTCAAAAATTACTTTTGTGCTCTAAAAGAACTTGTCAGATTTACTCCATGCTGTCTTCTAGAAGTGAGTTTTCAGTTTAATCAAGGGTTATGTTAGAGTACTTGAAACGTATATCTGTAGAGGTTAAAACTTCTTTACGAAGAAAATATCTCTCCATCAAAATTATATAATCCTGCCCATAAGGCACAGGTAAATCACAATCTTGACTATAATGGAATAATGTTAACCAAGTGGACCAAAAATCAGTACCAAAACACTACAAACCTCTGTAAACAAGAAAGATGTGGACTCAGTTCCAAATGTATTGATAATCATATTTATTGCATATAGAGTTTCTTCAAATGAGATTGAACACATACTACTCACTGAGCTGTAATACACAGTCATTCAAGCATGCTTTCTGTTGGGAAATTAAGTACATTTATACACATTTTGAGGAAGCCTGTGCTCATTTCTACCACTGTACACAATGTAGGCACAAAACAAGACTTATTCCTGCTGTCTTAGTTTTTGAAATACACTATAGTCTCAATCTGAATCTGAAAAAAAAGAAAAATCAAAACTACTTTTCAACAAGACATTACATCATCCAGAAGGAAGATTCTCATAGCTACATTCTTCACTATATCTTAAATGTGAAACAAGCAAGATCTTAAAATATATCTCAAGTTACCATTTTTTAAAAGGAATGACATTTATTCTTGTTTACCTGAGACTCCACAGTGACTGTGATCATAGAGGTGCTGCTGGTGCATGGTAGATTTTTTGTATATAACATGAGGATGACCATTCTCGTAATTATAGTTACTAGAATCTTCTGTTATATTTCTTAAAGGTTCAATAAAATACTCATCATCTTCTGTAGCAATGACTCCATGCTTAAAGAAGCAAATAAGAAAACAAAAGCTTACAATAGACAATATGGAACCACTATCACAAAACTTAACTTTAAAAAACATTCTCTGTGAAGAAATCCACAGCTAGAAGCTAACACATAAAACAGTGCATGAGCCAGCTCTCATCTGCTGACTTAGTATGAACAGAGTAGGTGCCTATAAACAATACAGTGAGAAAAAATAAAACTATCATTGTCCTATTTGTGGAGAACATTCACCTTTTTTTTGGTAGATGCAGTAAAAAAAGCAAGAGATAGTCTCAGAATATTACAAATAATCTCTTCACAGAGATGTTCTGAAATGACATAATTCATATCCATTAAAAATTACACCAAGCCAAAATGGCCTTGCTCTAATGTTAAGTCAAATATCCCTCTGTGATGCCCGCACTGCTAGATGCTTAAAGCCAAATACTTCATCAAAGACAAACACCATGAAGGATTAATTTTAGAACACATGATTCAAAGAAATCATTTTTATTTTACATCCAGACACAATCCCAAAACTCAGCAAGTTAATAGAAATCAAATTATTTATATTAACTTAAGTTACAATGTCTACAAAGCATTTATTCCATAAAAACTGTTGCCATAAATCTAGCAAACAAGAGTTATTGAAGACTATACACTAGACCTCATTCTCCATAACAAATGAATATTTTTTTCCTCATACTGCAGTGCAGAATAGTAGATACTCTATTCTCATAACTTTCACATTTGTGAACTCAGCTTCTTCCAAACAGGAAGTGGTTTATGGAAGAAAAGGGAGATTTCAGGCCAACTATGCAATTTCCTGAACCTTCAGCAATTAAAACTGAACTTTAGCAGAAAATCCAGGTTTTGGATCCTTTCAGATATAGAAATATTGGGGAATAAGCCCTGACAGACTTCTACACCAATGTTCGCTAAATAAAAAATTCTGAGACCCATACGCAGAAAATTCTGAATGTACAAACTTTCTATACAGGGAAGAGCTACTCATCAGACAGAAGAAGCCTAGAAGCAGGAACTTTTACATTCATATCCTGACTTGAGGAATCACAAATTTCCACCACACCTTTTATCTGTAAAACAAGTACTACACATGAATCTTTTTTCAAGGCCTCTGTGATCAGTGATAAGAGCACTTGCTCCATATCTGCTCTAAAAATCATAAAGCTGTTTTCAAAAATCAGAGCTTGTCTTTGTACTCTTGGTCAAAGCTCTTGTCCTGCTACTGTTTTGTACATGAAACGCCTACTCATCTTCTCTTCTGAAACAACAAAATAAAACTTACAAAATAAAATATCCTAAGTAATAAATCAGAAACAAGTGTTTTCCAAATAGAACTCTTTTACAAATGGTGAAAATATATGTATGAACAGACTGCAGCTTTCAATTACTCCTTCATTACATTGTGAATGCAAAAATAAGTGTTCCTCTTCAGTGGTATTTTTCGTTACAAACTCAATTATTAACTCAGAAGGCAACATCAGGGTCTAAATTCACCTGGAAGATGGCAGTATCAAATTCCTCTTACAATGCCTTCTTGTAACTTGAAGTCTAAGATTTTACTAGAAAATAAATAATTTACTGGTATACTGCTGCTTAAACAGTATTGAAAATATAAAACAAATTGTAACTGGGCTTGCCAGATGTGCAGAAAGAACCTTGACAGTTTGGACTGCATCCAGTCTGCATGTCAGACATCTGGGTTCAAGTGAATCCTGAGCCATTGTAAGCTCTGGTATTATGTTCCCACAGGAAGAGAGTCCTGCGGAGTGGTTCTGGCCAACACCATCAGGCTGTCTGCCACAAGCCAAGCCTGAGAAGACAGAGATACCATCCAATCTGTGGCACTGTCTCTGAGACAGAGTGGGTCCTAATTTAAATTCCTCCAGAGCATACATCCTTCCCGTCTATACTCAAGTCCAGCCATGTTTGCAAGTCTAAGCATAAATGAGATAATTACATCAGATACTGAAACTGATAATTATAAGTGGCAAGCCTACCTCGGCAGAGCTAAGTCAATTCAAATAGCATAAACTCTTAAATGCAGCACTAATTCTCTATACAATTGCATATTTGCTCCTGCAAATAACTAAAGAATATCTGCAAGCAATAGTCACAGCTCCTTCAGGTACCAGCAGTGAAAACAGTAAGGACAGCATCACCACTTTTTCCAATGCCTAGCTGATATCTGATCTCATTTGCCTAAATGCTATGGTGCTTAAGAAAGGACATTTTAATAATGCTTAGTTAATTAACTACAAATAAATTTTAACATAGATCTACAAGCAGGATGTGAAAACATGTGTGGTCAGTTGCTTCAATCAGACAAGTGATTCAATTAGCACTGGAAACACAATGACCCTGCATATGCCCTTCACATAAGCCTGGCATAGGTAGACTATTTCAAGCCTAACAGTATTTTTGCTTGCAAACAAAATTGTTCTTCCAGTGCTAAATTGATGCAACCAGTCTCAATGAATCACAGTGATTCAACAGTGAAATGACTGATTTTTAAGAAGCACTCTAAATACTGCAACTAAAAAGTACCTTGGTGATGGCCAGCATATGTTCTAAGTTTCAAAAACTCATTTGGCTAGAGATACTGGCATTGTTTATGTATTCAGCAATGCCTGATTAATACATAATGGGAAGTATACTATTATATCCAAACCAACATTCTAAATACCAGCTTTGTTTTATAATCCACTATCTGAGGAAAACAAAACTTCATTTGAAAAAGGAGTTTGAAACAATGCCCATTAAAAGCATTAAAATGAATTAATTTTAATTTTCTTTTTAAGTGTTGCAAAACAGTTCATAAATTAAACTTCTGCTCCAAAGCACAGAAATATCATTAAGACATTAAGAATGACCAGAAAAGGTTTTGACATAATACCATGGATATAAGAAACAAGCTGAATGCACCAAGTATGTTACTACAAGGAACATTCCCAAGATTATTATCTAAAACAGATTGTTTGAGGTCCTGTGTTATCCAATCCCACTACAGACTGCCAACTCATGCTAACATATACAAGGTCTGGTTCCAGCAGTTTGACATGCTCAGACAAATCTGTGAATCCAAATGGAGTTCCCCCTGAATTTGTGAAAAAGAATCTTCTTCTGTCAGGCTGTCCAGCCAGGGCCTTAACCTCCATCAGATGGGAGACATCCATCAGTTGCAAAAACAAACTGAATTATGGGGAACAAGTAAGCACATGCCTTTTCCACACAGCCCTATATTTTCACAATTTTCCCACACCTTGCATCTCTTTAGGCTTTATGTTTATCCATCTTTAATATAAAGTACTAGTAATGGCAACTTCTGAAAACAAGTCAATGTTGTTCAATATGTCAACAGCTAGCTATACACCATGATTTTATGACTGAGGAAAAAGATTTCATTAACCTACTGTGCTCTCAAAGATGAAAAAAACAGTGATCTGGCCTGAGACAGCACATCATGGAATCTAACAAAAAATCTTAGAACTAGGATAGGTACAGCTTGTATATAATTTTCTGAATACTGATGTACTGCAAAAACATATGAGTATCAAAGATAGCCGTAAAGACCCTGATACAGAATTATTTCACATACAGTAAAAAATACCATAGGTTATGTAAATTATGATCTATAAAGGTAGATGTATTCTTTAGAGTAAAAACGGCTTTCAAATGAACTCATTCTTAAGAAAAATATTAGTAATTTATAAATATATGTATTTAGGAATAAATGAAGCAAACATTAAGTCTTTCAGCAAAATAATTCCCCACTGAAAAAGTAAGCTCATGCTCTTAAGCTAGTCACCTACCTGTGCCTTCATTATCATTTCTGTTTGGATGGAGGTAACTATGCTGTCCAGCACAAACATTATGCAATGCATGAACTTCATATATATGGAAATACTGCATGTTTTACATTAACCATTTACTTGGGACCACAGTAGCCTCAAAATAGTTCCTACTACAGACCTTTTCAGGCCAAAATTACAAGATTTTCTACCATGCAAAACTTGTTTGAGCACTCAGTTAAGAGCTTTGGCACCTGGCAGAGGACAAAGATAAGCCAAAATTCAAAAAGTTTGCGTTTTGCTTGATTCCATTACTGAAGGCTCCAGAACTTCTCTGAGATTTGCTCCTCCCAGACTCAGTCAAACTCCATTCCCCCAAGGTGAAGTTCTTCACTCTTCAGCTATTCTACCACCATTTCTTTTCCTCTTTCCTTTGGTATGAAATAGTCAGCTTAGAAAATGCCTCAGTCTGGCTGCCTTGTACCCAACATCTAAAGTCCCTAAAACCCTGCTTATTGCAGGCTCTTTCATGATACACCCAACCTGCAATCCACCCACAGTAAGTGTTGCATCCACTACAGTAACCATGAGTTTGGGAGCCAGTAACCCTGTGGGCAAGACCTTCAATTTCCTCACGTGAATGCTCACTGGATTATAGAGCTTTACTCACTAATTCAGACAATTTATAGCAAAGTCAGGGCCCAGCAGATGGAAGCTGCTGGACTGAAACTTCAGTAAGTAGCAGCCTGTAATTCTAAGGCTCTTGGTAATGAGAAATATAGATGGAGAGGCTGAAACAAGAAACAGAGATAGGAAAATCAGCTGATTGCCTGTCACTTTTATTATAATGAAACTGAGAAAAAGCCCTCCTCACATTTATCTCAAATGCAAGTGTTCTTCAAAGACATAAAACATATGTTATTTAAATCATGTTCTCACATAACCACTCTGAATAACTAATAAGAATAATTCAAGACATTCAATAAGGGCAAGAAACTTGACCTATTTGTCAACAGTGAAACCTAACAGAACAGCCAGAGTAAATTCATTACATGCATTTTGTTTATGAGCAACATTCACTATTAAATATTACTTACTGCCTGCTTAAGAGGTAAAGCGTTAAACTTACAATGACTGGCTTTAATACAGATGTTAAACAAGGACTATTAGACTATGATTGGCAGTCATTTACAGACCAGCAGTCAAACTGGAAAATGTAACAAATGCCTTAAGCACAATGAATTCTGAGCTATTGCTAACTCTAAAACAAGTAATATTGTCTTCAATACTCACTGCCAATTGCTTTACTAAACATGTTCTAACCAGCAGCTGTATAACAAAACATTCATTAGTAGGAATCATCATTTTAAAATAACTTTGCGATGCATTTATCTGAATGGAGTGGTAACTCCCATACACTGTGCTCTGGAAGGCACTGCCAACACTGAAGAGTTTCCATACAGTAGAGGATAGTACCAAGTCAAGACTACTGCTGCACCCTCTGCAGGATTCATGCCTCTGAGACAGAGCCACGTGTCTCCCTGCTGATGTTTCTAGAGCAACACAGGAGCCTCACATGCTTGCGACCAAATCTTCCTAAGAGATGCAGTGCACACCTGGTATGTGAAGTCCCAAGTAAAGAGACTTGACCATGAAGAATTTGTGTGCCCAAAGTCTAGATATAAGGCTGCCTTAACACATGAAAGACACACATAAGGACAACCACAACCACTGAGGATGATGATTTAACTGGGAAACACTCTACACAGAAGTTAACTTACAAACACAAAGTTGACATACTGACACCTAGAACAACAGGCAGCCTCACTCCAGCAAAACAGACAGCCTGAGGGCAAAGGGAAAACATCCGAAATGTCACCTCAGGGTGCTGGGCACAGAAGAAAAAAAGAAAACAATATTCTGCTTCCTCGTGACATCCTCCATGCTTTTTTAGAAGAAAAGAAGTGCCATAAGGAGCAACAGATGGGAAAAGACGATAGGAAAATACATGTACCAAACTGTAATACCACACTCAATGGAACACCATTTTAACTCCATTCATCTGAAAGTGTTCACTTAGCGCTGGAAATCCCCTTTAAATATTTTTCTTCAGGAGCACTCTGAAATGTTAAACTAGCCTGCATCAGGCATATCACAAGTTGTTGGGTGTAATGCAACCTATCTAGGTCTGAAACAGATGGCTTCTTTTTGAAAGTAACATCTCAAGAGGTATTGTTCAATAGCACTTCCAAGGACAAATGGGAATTAGTTTACCAAGCCTGTGTAATTTTTTTTAACTTAGCAATTAGTTAGATCAGCTTATTCCTAACAAGATTGACCAGCATTCTACCATAATAAAAACCACAATGAGAAACCATAAAGTAGTATATTTTTACTACAGAAAACACTGGCTCTTGATTTAACGTTTCATAGTCATGCCTTTCTGTTTTAGTATTTTGTTACTCAATAGTTTGCTTTTTTACTTGTTTGTGTTCATTTTCTAATTTCTTTTTCCATGCATGTATTACTGTCATGTGATCACAAGATCACCAGTAAGAGAAGAGATGAGAATAAATTAGGTAAGAACTTCTAATTTTATTTCTAAATGCAAAAGTTTATGATTTGTAAACAAAATCTTTCTGGTTAAAAAAGTTATATAATTACTTTCCGATGCTGTTACTTGTTAAAGACTATTCACATTTTGAATTCACAGCAATGATGACGTCTACACCAAGCAACCGCTCTTCTTTTATTCACTTAGTTTTTAAACCCAAATACTCGAAGTCAGTGGGTGTTCAGTCCAATCAACATCTCTCTGTAGAGATTCAGTACCCCGGAGGATCCACTGTTTCCTCCTCCCTGTCCCTTCAGCTTGGAAGCCTCTTATAACTGTAAAGATCTCAGCACAGACATAATCCTGCAACCCCAGCACAGACACCATAAACACTACAGAGGTTGCCTACTAGAAGACTACAGAACTGAGTCTCAGTTATATATATTAGGCTTGAGAAACTGACACCTATTTCTCCCCAGGACCTAGATCAGGTTTTAGGGGTTTTCTGCACCTTCCTGTCTACTTGTTTCCCACAGGGACTCAAAAAACTGCAAGATAACCCAGTTTAATTCTTCTTCTGTAATTTAAAAGGGACAAGCACACTATTATACTATAACATGTAATGTGGACTTACCAGACCATTGCAGTTGCTTAAGGCCACTTTACTTGTACTGTGTTGGTCTTGCAAATATCCTGTGTAATGACAGTGGTCTAAGAAATCATGCTTCCATTGCGGTCCATCTTTCCCCCAGTACTCTACTGTAAAATGTCTGGACACCAAATCTGTGTTGAGAGTCAGGTTTAAATGAAAGTGCTTGCCATAGGCAGAAAGTTTAAAAAATAATTTAGATGCTGCCAGTTCTTGGTCATAAGGGTCTGTGCTCCTCCTCCTTCTTGAGGGTTTAGGATTTTTCACAGTAAAGCTGAGGAAGGCTCCATTTTGATCAACCCTTATTGGGATTGTTAGTTGGTAGTGTTCAAGGTAAGACAGGAATTCCTCTTTGTAATCAATCACAAGGTAAGACAGTCCAGGGAGTGGGCATAGAAGAGAAGAAAATATAACAGGAAACAACAAGTAGTAGCATAAACATAGACCATTTTGGGTAAATTTCATCACTCTCATGAGTAAAAGTCACCTTCAGGTAAGCGCACAATGCAGCATTTTACAAAATACAATAAAACATTATTTTCTTTCTTTGTAAGTCAAGAAAATGTGTTTGATTTCCTATTAATTTGCTTATCACTTTGAAAATAGCAAAGTAGTTTAATACCTATCTTTTCCTATTTACGAAAAATATGTAAATAACTGGGTCTGGTAAGAAGGGCATATTTTTCCCAGTGCTACCATTCAAAGAAAAAAGCTAGAAAATCCATTTGCAAGAATACAAACAGTAGTAATGAAAAGGATTATATTGTAAAAACAAGATTAGGTTCTTACTTCCTAGTCTAAAAGCATGTTAATTTTATCATGGCAAGTCTCTCAAATATTATCAAGTACATTTTACAAGATTTAATTTGCAAGGCTTTCCTACAGTTAAAAGTAGACAGAGAGAAATTAGAACAAGAAAATTTTATCTGTATGACAATTAATCATGATAAAACTAAGAGCAGAGACCAGATGAGCTCATGAATTATATAAACATGGTTTAGAAAATATTACACAAACACAACGCAAAAATACATGCTTCTTGCCAGCTGCAGAGATCAGACCCCTACCTTGAGAACTGTATGAAAGCCTGCTGTTACTGAGAAATTCCGATGAAACCATGACTAGGCTCAAAATCCATGTCCACGTCTTCCAAAAAATTTCCATAATTTAGAAAAAACAGAAAGTTTTTTTTTTTTCTTTCTCCTTGGAGAGCTACCTGTGTGCTATAGAGTTAACTTCACTCCAGAATCGCACCATAACAGGTATATTTATTTTATACTACTTTCAAATTAACTATAGGATGTTCTACTTTCTGGACAGGTACTTTCTTCTATAGCTGCAGTCATTTTCTTAATTCAAAGCAAGTATTTGTAAGATTCCTTAAGATATGAGACAGATGTTAGATTGGATAGTTACTGAAATTGTTCCATTTCTTTTCCTGAAAAACAGAAGAATATGAGTCAAGGCAAATTCTTTCTATTAAAACAGATCTTGCTGCAAAATATTAAGCCATGACAGTGAATTACACAGGGCAATATTTTGAAATAATATTCAGTATCAATTTTATGGTCACATCCAAGGTCACAATCTTACAGAAAGAAAAAAGCAGAAAAAGAGTTACCATTAACCTTGAAAAGCAGATCCATACAGTCTGTGATGCACTTATTAACTTCATGTCATTTTTATGCATTCTTACACCTATTTAGTGAGCCACCTTGTAGCTCAAATATTGTGTTCAGATTTGTTCCATCTATAATCAATGCTACACACTCATTGATTTCAACTGTTAATAACACATCTCAGTATACTGGTAGATAAAGGAAGAACCTGGAAAGGAATCCAGAGTACAGTTATCTGATCTTTCTGAAGCATGTATTTTGTTATTAGTAGGGCCAGGGTTCTGCTTATGCAGGCAGAATTCTCATTCACTTAAATAGGAACGCTGCATGTTAGAATACTAAAGAACAAATTTCAGTATCTAAAGCTATGCATCACAGACACTCCAATATTTCAAATATTTGTTGTCAGGTTTTGTTGGTTTTTTGTTTTTTTTTCATTTACAACACTATTGCAACAACAGTTTTTACTATTTTTTACAAGAGCTGCAGCTCTAGGAGTAGCCAGGGATTAAATGGAAGATCCATGCAGTCAACTAACAATCCAGTACCGTGGGATACCAAACTATGTGTTGTGTCAGCTGGTATTCATCAGTCCACTTAAACACTCTCAGCACACCTGTGCACAAACTCTGCTGAAGCAGACAATGGAGAAACAGAACACCTAAGAAGGGGAGCTTGTTTAAAAACCAATTTCCACAAGCATACACAGTCACACATGCACCAGATAAATCTGCCTTTCTAAAATTCTGGGAATGATGATACATTCATTCAGACAGGTATTACAGCTGCAGCTAATGGATTATTTATGAAGACTTTATAAAGAGCTGTAACATAAAATATTAAGAAAAAAATCATCACCCAAATCCTATTTACCAATATTACAATGAATATTTAGATAACATCTTAGCCAGTTTCAAACCCAGCTAATTACTAATGTGCAAATGAGATTAATCTGACCTTTTAAAAATATTTCAAGGCAGCAAGCAGGATTTACTCAGGTTTGTAAAGAGACTAAAAGATACTTTGCAAACATGCTTTGTGCTTAGTAGTATTTTGTTCCTGGGGAAGCATAAAGATTTTGTGATGCCATGCACATGTGGCAAGGCCTGAAAACACATTAATAAAAAAGCTTAAAGCTCTGTTTTCATTGCTATGTAGAACCTTTATTTCCTAGCTAATATTTTGTTACAGTTCCTTGATTTTTGCAAGTTCTGAAGATACATAATTAACCCCATACTCTTTCAGCTACATTAATACAATAAGTAATGTGCCTTATTTCTAATCTGAGAATATAGAGTTTCAAATTCTTGTCACTGAATCTTGCTTTATCCCCATTTGCTAATAAGCTGGTTTCTTTTCCTTGTGTGCACAGTTATAATCTGTTACAAGCATCTCTGGACACTTCCTGATAAGCAGCTCAACCTATTTGGTTTATCTCATTCTGTATAATCCAGTTTCCAGATGACTGAATACTTCTGCAGTTTTTCTCTGAATCGCTTCCAATTCGCCAGCATCCCTTTTTATCTGCAGACACTGGAACTGGGAACTGTAGTCCAGTAATGGTTTGTTACCACCATATATAGAGGTAATATTGCCTTACAGCTTCTACTTAGCCAAAATATCCTAACAGGGAGTTCATGTTCAGACTGTTAGGCTGATAAAAAGTTATCCTAAAATTAGGATCTCCTGAAGCTGCAGTACCTAGGGAGCTAGATAGGTCAGAATACTGGATACAATTTAACAGTACCCATTATTTAGTACCATTATTTATTATTTACCCACCAGTGGCCCACATGATGGACCATAACCATATGTTAGTCAACAGTGTCAAACAGTCACTGATGCCTAGTGTTCTTGCAGAGGTCTCTGAAGTGGTCTCCCTCATTTCAAGACCAATCAAGGATTGGTTCACACAAGACAAATCCCCTTTCATATCAAACTTTCTGAAAGATTCAGCAGAATTTTTTACCTCTTCTTTGTAAATATTTATTGCCAGCTTGACCATGGATACAAGATGACCATAAGAAGCTATATTAATGTTTCCAATTAAAGAGTGGTAATGGATGTGAATAAAAGCACCCAGGTAACTTCAAGATAAAATACTCTAAGTATGGCATTTGGTAGGAACATCAAAGTCTGGACTCTATCCCCCTTTTGTTTTATTTGCACCTTCTTTGGCAGCCTATTTTCATGGCAGCTTGTAGATTGTTGTTAAGATGCAAAATTTGGTCAATACTAACCTTACAACAAGAAACTTCTAGTGTATCATGTGGTGAACTACACATTCACCCACTGGTTAACATAGGTGTGGCTCCGTGTCCTCAACCACCACCTAAAACCACAGATCCCATCTAACTCTAAGAGCTCTGCCAAACAGGAAAGGAATGTTTTCTGACGCCAATGATGAAACAGATGCATGGCACTGGCATTTCTGTGAAGGCATGGATAACCATGGCAGTCAGTGGTGTCATGAAGTTCCCACTCAGTGACACCCAGTGAGGAGAAAAAAGTTACTGGAGCACAAGTCCTATGTGAGGTGGATGAGAGAGCTGGGGGTGTTTAGCCTGGAGAAAAGGCAGCATAGGGATGACCTTATCATTCTTTACAATTAAAAGTGTAGCCAGGTGGGGGTCGGTCTCTTTTCCCAGGCAAAAAGTGACAGGAGAGAAGCTGCAGCAGGGGTAGTTTAGGCTGGACATAAGGAATAATATCACAGAAAGGGTGATTAGACAGATCGGGGTGCTCAGAAAGGTGGTTGTCACAGTCGCTGGAGGTGTTTAAGGACAGCCTTCATGGCACTGGTCTAGTGCCATGGTCTAGTTGACAGGGTAGCGTTTAGTCATAGGCTGGACTCAATAACCTTAGAAGTCCTCTTCAACCTATATGATTCCGTGACAAAGTGGACTATGAAGAGGCGACTAGCCAAACAGCTCAGAGCAGTCACCATGGGAGCCTCCATCTAAACAAAGGTGCCTTGGGCAACTCAGGCATCACTTAACCTGAAGGCAGCTCAAGTTTTACGACAGGGCAGCATGTCAGACTGATGTCCCAAGACAACCGCCACACCAGGGGCGCCCACCGCAGAACCGATGGTGGCCGAGGTGCCACAAAACACAGGCCACCGCACGGCCCAATGGCAGAGCCCAGACCACCGCTACGCCTCGGGGCGGGGTCGAGGAGAGCGACGACCGGGAAAGGGACCCGGCGCTCAGGCGGGCGGGACAGGGGGCTGTCCTCCACGCCCCCGCCCCGGCGGCTCGGCCCCGCCGCCTTCCCGCCCTCCGCGGCCGGGCCGTGCGGGCGGCGGGAGCCCGCGGTGAGGCGCGGGCAGGGGCGGCCGTGCGCCCGCCCGGCACTACGAGTGGTTGCTAAGGAAATGGGGAGGGCAGCGGGAGGGGACGGGGCGGGGGACGGGCATCAATCACACAAATTCAATTACAGGTATCGCGGCTGGCTGTGAAAAACTTCGCAGGGCTTCAAAAGCTGGGGATTAGCCGTGCCCCCGGGAGCTTCCCCAGGCGAGAACTGCGACGCGCAGACCGCGCCGGGAAGAGCTCGGTGAAAAAGAAGGGGGGCCGGGAGTGGCGGGGAGAGGGACACGTACAAAGGGAAAAGATCGAGCCCTCCTCCCCGGGAATTAACCAGAAGCGTGAGGAGTAAAACTACTGCTGTGCGGGCCCCGACGTACGACGGGGCCGCCACCATATGAACCGCCCCCGCCAGCCCCAGGCTCCCCGCCGGCCGTGCCGAGGGGGTAGCTGTCACTGCACCTACCGAAAAAGCAATACCCACCCCCACAAAAGGAAAAGTCAACAGGCTAGGAAAATACACGGCTACACACACAGTTAAACACGTACACACATGCACATTATCTGTACACGTCTGCACACACAGAGAGTTAAAAACACTGGTACTGAAGAAAATTGGAAGTCACCAGACACACATCCCTCAAAAAAAAAAAATTCAGAAGGGAAAAAAAAAAAAAAAATCCGTCCTCCCTAGAGAGGCTGAAGGGGAGAGTCTGGTTGCTGTGGTGGAGCTGATCCTAAAGTTAACTTTCAGCAGCCCATTTCCAGACAGCAGCGCTGAATCTATTTGGATAAAACGCGTGTGACCCAGACACTTGGCGTTTGGCCCAAACGCGTTGCACCGGCAGCCCAAATAAAAACAAGAGTCTGACTCTCTCCCTCTCTCTCCCTTCTCTCTTGTACAACAATGAAAGAAAGTAGTGAAGACAAAATCCGCACACACATCGCCGGGGAGCGAGAGCCCACTTACCTCCTCCCACCAAACAAAGTCCCTTTGAACCCTGGGCGACTGCGGAGACAGACATACACCGACAAACGCGAGTCCGCGGGGTGAAGAGTCTGGCAAATCCCAAGCGGCTCGAAGTAAATCAAAACCACACGCTTCCATCTTCCTGATGAGCCCAGCGAGAGCCCGACATCCCCGCCAGCATCGCTGCGGGACGGCGGCCGCGCCGACCCTCCAAGCCCCGGTACAAAGTGTGCACTTGTCTGACCGCGGCAGCGGACACCGCCGGACGCGGCGCGGCCGAGAGCCGGGCGTCCTCAACTCAGCAGCAATCCGGAATAGCCCTGGGTTGTCGCTGGGGTTTGGGGGCTGTTTGGTTTTCATCTGTTGTTTGGATTTGGTTTGGTTTTGTTTTTCCTTTTCTGCTTCTACCAACGACTTAGTATTCGAAGTATAAAAAAATCTTTTTAAAAGTGCACTATTCGAGATGGTGCTTCATCAATCACCTCTCTAATCGGTTGAAAAATTCTCGCACCCCCTTCCCCCATCTCAAGGCTTCTCTCTGAAATTACTCCAAATGCACCTCGCCTAATGCAATATAAATCTCCCCCCGCTCCCCAAAGCCCTGCACGCACCATTATTCGGGACACAAGAAAAGCAAAAAGTTTCATTGAATAGCGTGAAATCTTCCTTACCGTTTTCATCTTCAATTTCTGATATAAAGTAAGTTTCAAACAATAGAGATTGCACAGGACGATTCCCGTATTCCTCTCTGCTTTTCCCCTCTGTGCAAGCAACCATCAGGGTTCTATTCTCCAACAGAATAAAATTCTCTAGCCTTCCTAAAGGGGTTTTTAGAAAACGGGTTGGCTTGGCAGGAGGAAGGATGCCATCAATTCACCGAAGCTATCACCCTGCACATTTTGTCTTTCCAACAAAAAAGGGGGGGAGGAAGGAGGGAAAAACAGGCTTATATTGGGGTGGGGGTGGGTGCCCTCCTCTTGAGCAGCCTCCTCTGTGCAAAATACCATGTGAATATCATCTGAGTTGGGGGGGGAGGGGGGACCGGGAGACAGAAAGGGGGGAAAGAGAGGGGGAGCAGAGGGGAGGCAGGCAGAGCAGGAAGGACTCAGGAAAGCTTGGTTGAAGTAGCCCCAGACCTCCTCTGGCTGCCGGCGCCGGGCCAAGCCGAGCGCGGCGGCAGCGGGGGAGCCTTGGCAGCCTCGCCCGGGGGACGGCGCGGGGCCCGCTGACGTCAGCCTGCAGATGTGCCCCGGACCGCCGCGCATGCGCGCCCGTCACGTGGCAGCGGGGGGGCAGGGGCGCAGCCGGGGGCGCGGGAGCGGGAGGGGCGGCGGGACCCTCGCCCGGAGCCGCCTGAGGGGAGCCCGGCCTGGCCCGCCCGGGGGAGCCGCCGCCGCAGCCGCGGGGAGCCGGCGGCAGGCGCCGGGCACGGCCGCTGGGCACGACCGGCGAGCTGGGGCGACCCCCTTCTGCCATCGCCCTGCTGCCGTCGCGCTGCTCGTCCCGCGCCCCGTTACAGGCTTTAATAAAAGGAAACCTCTTAAACACCATTTCCAGCGGAGGGGAGGCGGTGTCTGAAGCCCGCGCTGCCAGCGACAGCTGGGCCAGCATCGCGCCGAGGCCGGGGGTCCCGGCCCTGCTCGCACAGCGCTTTCAGTTTCATTTGCGGCGGGGTCGCGGCATCGGCTCCCCGCCTGGCAGGCGGGAGGGTGCGCTTGGGAGCGGGCAGCTGGCGGCCGGCGAACCGCCCCTGCTCCGGGCAGCCAGCGCTGCTGGCGAGAGGGTCACACGGAGAGAGTGGGCTGGAACTCCCACTCGCCCTCTAACCACCAAGTTAATTTCCGATTGCCGAAAAAAGAGGGAAGGGGGGGGGAGAGGGGGAAATATCCTTCCTAAACCTAGGTTCTAAGGTTTCAAGTTTCTGCTAACTGTTTTTCCCAAATGGTGCGGGTGCGGGTTTTCCTCCCCAGCCGGAGGTAGTAGGTGTAATTGCAACTTCTGGTGAATCTCTAATATCTGGCTGGACTGTGAAATGATTGCAGAGAAAGGTCCAAGAGCACAGCTACTCCGGGACTTCTTGGAGCATCGAAACAGTAGGATCGGCCTGCAAAGTCAAATAGTCAGCAGGAGTCTGATGGTCAGCAGGGGCTGGCTTTGTGCCCTCTGAGATGGTGAAATCAGAGCCGTGGCTGGCATTCATAGTTTCAAATAAACTCTACACAATTACTTTTGAATATGAAGCAATGTTATAGGTAAATCATATTTTGTATACAAGTATGTGAAAATTCTTTTAAGTGCAACTCTAAGAAAATAAGCACAACGTCCTAAACAGTTAGTCATCTTTGTCGCTATTCATTCTGAAACAGCGCAGTGAGCACTTACTTGAGAGGTCCTTTTACTGTCGCCGGGCAAATTAATGTAACAATGGTTAGGGGAGTAGTAGAATGTATCACTGCATTGAAAACCGGAGCTATGAAATTAATGCTCCTTGGGAATAGGGGCATTCAGAAAGAAACGCTTTATTCTGGAAATGCATCTCCAACCTGCTTCCCCCAGGGTTAATTGCTCATACGGAGAGCGCCATCCTGCGTCGGCGCCCGGGGCGTGCGGGGATGCTGGCTGCACCGGGGAGACAGTTCCGCCCTTCTTCCTCTTCATCCTGTACGTGCGTGAGCAGTTGCCGCTTTGGTGGGTACGTCTGGGTACATCCACTTCATCAAAACAGCTATTTCTAACATTGAGAAGAGTGTTTTTTGTTAACATTCCATAGTTCCTGCTCCTGGAGCAAATCGTTATATGCGATGTTCGCATGGAAGAGCCGCAGAGCATGACCTGCTCAGATGCAGCCAGGGGTACCTGAGTCATATCACCTTATCTCCATAGACAGGCATTGTAACAGGTTCTGCTCAACCTTTTCCGTAAACTCAGTGGTTCGTACAGAGAACTGGGACAGTCTATCCTATTGAAAGTACAGACCGTGAAAAGATTTCTTTTTACACATTCTGCATCAGAACCAAATAACCTTTTGAACAGACAGACACGCATCACAGCCAATTGCCTCATGGCTATGGTATCCTCGGGGGATTTGGGAGAACTGCCTTCAAATCAGACCCTGCCTGAATCAGACTCAGGAATGTTCACGTTGCCGTCTGACGGCTGAGCTGGGGACTATTCTGGTGTTAAAAACTGGCCTCTTCGTGGCTGGATCTGCTCCATTGTGTATAGCTGAATAAATACTCATCAAGCTAAAAAGAAAGACAGCTTATCACTGTCTGGTTAGGGTCCTCACATGGATTCAACTCCCTGCTCTAAATCCAGCAAAGCAAAGATATATGGACTTCACAAAACCCAGCTGCTTGCTCAGACCAACAAGTTATTTATTCCCTGTTCCAGACAACTACATTTTCTTGCCTAAGCCCACTGGTGTATATATACCAGTCAAAACTGGTCTATTACCAGGAAAAGCTTTGGCTCATCTTTAGAAATTCCTGTCTGTGATTAGAATTTCTGACAGAACTACCATTGCAGTTTGACTTTACTGTTTTGCTTTATTGTATAAAACAATATTTCAGAGTGAACCTCATTCAGATAAAAATAGTGAGCTCATTTGGTGCCTTTTTTTAGTGTCCTCACCGCAAATATTATCCATATATATACATTTTTATGAACTGCAACTTTTTAGGAAAGAAACTTACACAGGAAGTCGTACACAGATTCTCAGTATAAATGTTTCTTTGCTGCAATTAGAAGTGTTTCTAGGAGGGATTGCAATTTTACTCTAAATTCTAGTACTATGTATAAACCATTTGGGCAACTGTGTCTCAGAAACTCTGGGTAGGATTACAAACTTACTGAGCACAAAGCATATTACTCTAGGTCTTAACCAGTTTCTTAGTGTTTGCTGACCATGGATATAAGTAGCTAAAGCACTCTTGGCTTCAGGCCTTTGAATCATTTAACATGTTAGCCAAGACTGTTAAGATTGGGAAGCGTTCTCTTTTGTTTAAATAAATATTCATATTGAACTTGAATTTAGAATTGTGAGATGTATTTGGAGGCATTTGGGGTTAGTTCCAGAAATTTTGCTTTTTATTGAAATACATACAGAAGACAAAGCAAGAAGTCAACAGTGTTTCTGTAATATGAGCTTTTTTATTACCTGAACGTTTGGATGTATATACTTGACAGTGTGCTTGTTTTGGTTTGGTGGGGTTTTTTTTCAAGTAGTTTTACCTGATCAGTGAAGATCTGAAGACTGTAACCTATCTTATTTAGAAATATCCCAGCAGTGTTTGTGGAGAGAATAAACCTGTTTAAGAATTATATATCTAAAATTATGTTATGTTATTTATGTTATAAATCACATAAATACTGTAAAATTTATATGCTGTATATAATTAAAATACTTCAATTGACCATAAAGTTAAAAAAGTAGTAAAGATGAACTTGCATTTATATGTGCTATACTTTCTGTGGTTGTATGGAGAAAAGTTTTTGATGTGCATAAGGGCTTAATCTTTAGTCCCCTGAAAGATGAGATTCTAGGGGTACTTAAAGATAATGGTGCTGTTCGGATCCATGTCTTTCACTGACTTTTCCTTGTAAATAGTCTGAATTCAGACTGCTTACAAATCTCACCTTCCCTTGCAGGAGGAGATCTAACAGCATCTCTAGAAATTACCCCAGGCTATGTGTGTTCAATTGTGCCTGGTACATTGCATTTCAGAGGGAGAATGCATATCAAAGTGTACTTTCGGTTGGAAAATGCATCCCTTTTGAGTTGAGCTCTTCTTGATGACCCTCTAAAACAAAATTCACAGTGATGCATTTGGCTTCAAGTAGGGCTTTGAGGCTACTTCTGGCCAGCAAAGCAATATTGCCAAGAATGTGTTCATTTAAATAAGAAGAGCCTTGCCAAAAGCAGGACCCCCACAAGCAGCTCTGTGTGTTGTACTGATGCGGGGCTTATCCTTCCACAGGCCCCCTTATGTCTGCAAGACCCTGTGGAACTGACTACCTGATTATTTTAGTTTTAGATTTAGAAATAAAACTAGAAAACTTAATGTCAGCTTGACATCCTCCATAATGTCCAGACCAGTTTCCTCTCTGGTGAGCACAGATGAGACAGGGCAGAGAGACCAGAGAATATGAATTCGGTGAGAGCAACACCCCAAACTTTCTCAAAACGTGGGAGGGATGGACAGTGAGAAGAATGAGATTAATTACCTATTAAGAGATATTGAAATATTGAGATGAGGAATCTTAGACTCATCAAATTGTTTAGATAAATGCTATAGCAGAACAGATCACCTCAAATTTTGCAGGCAAATAAGATGAAACAGATGCTATCCTCATTAGGATTAATGTAGAAAATAAAGAACACAAATCCAATAAAGTTTCACACAAGAACAGGAACAATAGTAAATAGAAAAAAAAATAGATAAAGCAGATGAGGGAGTTTGGGTTTTTTTGGGTTTTTTTTGGAGTTTTTCCTGCTTTGTCTATTTCCAACTTTCCAAGTCAAGAGAGAGATACCAGAAAGATTAGGTCAGTAGGCATGTTTAAAGGGAGCATTTCCCAGCTATATGTATTATAGTTTTTCTGTGTATTTTCATTTTGCTATTTTCCTATTTCCAGAGAAAGTTGTTCATAAGATCTGAACAATCTGTGAGGCTTAGAGTGAGCAAAGCTGAGACAAATTATACAATATGTGGAAAATGTGTATGTGGAAAATCTCTATGAAAAAAATTGGCAAATGGTATTCCTCAAAGATTAGTATACACAGAAACATATAAAAGCTGTGCAGAAAATCTTAGGAAATACATAAGAATTCAGTTATTTTGGTTTTAGAATGAAAAATCTGGAATTAAC